TTATAACTATATATTAAACCTATATTAAAATAATTTTTAATTAAATATATATTTTTAAATCGGATTTCTAAAGTATTTTTAAACATTTGGTCGAGTATATTGAAACTATATTTTAATTTCTTGAATACCATAGTTCAAATTCTATACGCATATTCAATTTTTTTAAAAATATTTAAAATTTATTTTCCGTTTTCATTGCTTATATGTAAATTATAGATATGATCTTTTAATTAAATTAAAAGAGTTTCCAAATTTGAACTCCATATTTTTAGTTGTTAGAACATTCCACAGGAATATATATTTCCTAATTTCTACACAATAATCCTACTCCGTATAACCTTATAGTTGTTACGACTTACGAGTATTAAAGTAGTTTTAATTTTAATAGCCTCAATTAATTAAACTAGTACGTTTAATTAACGCTGATCGGATTGCGGAACAGATATGGAAGGAAATACTGTTGCGATTTTCGTGGGAGGTTCATGTGATTCATTCATGCAAATTGCAAAATGATGTGCAAATTATACCGTGCGATCGCCACACCATGTGTATGGTGTGCTGATCCCAAAACGACATATTTTTTAATTAAAAAAAAAGATCGTGACTGCAACAACAGCGCAGGAGAGCAAATAGGTCCTGGAAGAAGATCTGATCTCCGTGATAATCGCTCGAAGAAGAAACCCAGCTAGAAACGTGATCTCCTTGGTGTGTTGTATCATGGAGTCAAGCCTTGCCCCCATCTTTGACCGATTGGAACTTGGAAGGCAACGATGATTGCTGGCCATCAACTTGCTTGCATGTCTCTGTATTACACCGCCCCTGTATTTCATCTAATGATCGCTGGTTACATTGCTGCAGAAATAATGCACTTGATTACAAATCTTCATATTACACACACAAACATATACGTAGTATATGCTATCCAAATTTATATACATTTTGGCATAGATTCAAGTAACATTTCATTTTAACGCGATTTACATCTTTTTACATGTGACTTGCATCATTTTATGCGCAAATTACATCATTTTATGCGCGAGTTACATCAGTGTAATTGAAGTTACATTTTGCTTATACACGAGTTACATTTGGACGACTTGCCTCAGCAAGTTACATTTTGCATACATGTAAATTACATTTTCTATCAACACCAGGGCCGGCCCAGGACATGTCTTCCATGTGCAGCTGCACATGGCCCAAAGTTTTGGAGGGCCCAAAAAGAACTTGTACTCTGTATTACTTCGTACTAATCTGCCAGCCCAGCTCCAAAATCTGAAGAAATAGAAAGAAGAACGCAGAGTCGCGGAGGAAGTCGGAAAGACGAAGCTCCGCTTGACCGAGCCTGCGAACCGCCAACCACAAGCACCAGCCCGCCACGGCGCTGCCGCACCACCGAACCCCGCCTCCACGACCGCTTGTTTGTTGACCGTCGACTGTTTTCTGCAATCTGCACTACTCCCAATACTCCGCAATCCGCCAGTAGAGCAATAGCCCGGTAAGCAACTAAACTAAGCACAATACTCAATACTCAATAGATTTTCATATACCTTCGATTGAATTTGCAAATTATTGAAAATTTTGAAATTAGTTTGTTTCATTGTTGTTATTCACTTATTTGTATATTTAATTTATTTCAGTTGTTTAATTGATAATATTTATTTTAGTTTGTTGGAAATACACTCAAATTAGTTTGTTGAATTGTTATTTCAATTCAATGTTGTAATGGGTTTGATAATAATTGTGTCTAACAACTACTCCCTCCGTATCACATATATCTTTCCACTTCCAAAGTGGGTGAGATTAAGAATAGTGAAATGAGTATGAATTATTGAGGGTATGTTGGGAAGATGGTGAAATAATGTGATGGAATGAAGGATAAATCCAAAAAAAGTAGGTGTAGTAATGTATTATTTTTTAAATTATTGAGGGTATGATGAGAAGATTTAGAAATGAGAAGATATAAATGTTACCCAAAAAAGGAAAGTGGGAAGATATGAATGTTACGGAGGGAGTAAAATTTAAGAAATAGGTGTACCGTACAAGTATGTTATTAGGTACCTTTAGCCCTTTAGGCCTATAGATTATAATTATATTAGTATAATTTTTCATGATTCAACCAAAATTTTAACTTGAATTTAACTGAATAAAACTTGTTTTATTGTTTTTGTTTTTATTATTATTTTTTAAAACTTGTATTTAAACACAATTTACTTGTGTTAGAACTTGGAAAAAAGGCCCAAATGTTATTGTTGCACAGGGCCTTCATTGGCTTAGGACCGGCCCTGATCAACACAAGTTACATTTAGCCTAACACATGTTATATCACAAATAACCTCTCCTACTGAAACAACAACGAAAAAAATTTCTTTTTCAAATAATCTTTATGCCTCTGATATTATAACACTACCTGAATGAAGGAACATTAATAAGGGCCGCTATAAGGAAACTTGGTTATAATAGGCTATTGCACAAGTTGGTCATTAATCCTTATTGTGAAAGGAGACTTACATTTGACTATGAAATCCAATAAGGGATTAATAAGGAATCCCTTTGTTATTAAATTGTGCTGACATGTCCTTCAACCTTATAAGGGATTAATGGCTCCAGCTGCCTTATACAAATTGAAAAAAAAATGTACTGTACATTCCATTTGTTATAAGAGATTAATAAGGGACCATCCCTTGTTATTTTTTTGAATATATAGACATCCCTTGTTATCTTGACATGATTTTGGACACTTGATATACGAGTTTTTTTTCGCGGCTTAAGATATGTATTAAAAAATCACGTCTCCTTCAGTGATATATTATTTCCCCATGAAACACATTTTAATTATTTTAGCCACAAGGATAGATAAAAAAAATCGAATAAAATACTTTTATATTGTAGGACTATTTAATTTGACTTATTAAGTTTAGTCACCAACCAAAATAGACAAATTTAAAAAGAGGTTTATTACCTTAAACCAGACAAAACTAGACCATGTCAAACTTAACATTGGCACATGAGACTTTGAAATTTCAATTCAATTAAAAACATCCTCACTCTCACCATTAAGACCTGAGGTTCCATCCTAAAAGGTCAACCTAATAGGAGTAGTCCGAGTGTTAATATAACACTTTGTTCATCCAAACGTTTCCGATGTGGGACATTCAACACCCCTCCTCACGACCAGACATTTCGTCTAGATCGTGCAATCATTCATTTTTTTCATCGGTCCATTTTTCTTTTCATCCGGTCGTTTTTATAATCGTGTCATCATTTTTGTCGTCGGGCCACAGTTGATTCTACACCACCGTTGCCTATCCTTCTTATGAGTGTTTAAAATAACCCGCACAACAAGCGGCCATCTCATTCTAACCAGATGGCTTCGTCCTCCTTGATGCAACTCCTGGTAAGCGACAAACATGTGTAGTGCAGTCCAGCTATCCGATTCTCTTTGTAGTTTAGTGTCGTTGACGATGAGTGTGTTTAAGCCCTTTACTGTATTTAGTTTATGTCTTTACAGTTGGGTTCTTACATTTGCAATATTTGTAGCAGCTGAAAGGGGTCTATACATCAATTGTTCACATATTTGATATCAAGCTTCGGGAGGATGCTACAGATTTCTTCTACAACACCAAATTCATATGATAAATGTCGACAGTTACCACTCCGGGAAGAGCGATCAACTCCAACAACATTAGCTAAAATTAGTTGTTTGTGATGTAAATGTAATTATACTTCCCCCGTTCTCTTTTAATTGCAACAGTCAACATTTTATGTTTGTCAACGCACAAGTTTGACCATTAATATCTTTCATTCCTTATTAGTAACAAAATTAAAAAATTCATATTTTAAAATTTTAGAATAAGAAGAATTTAAATTTTTTTTTAAATTTAATTTATAATACATTAATAAATAAAATATAGTCAAAGTAGAATATGTGAATAGTGCAAAAAGTCCCGTCTTTAGTTAATTTGGTGCCCTAGAAAAAAATTAAAATTACATTTTTATAGTAGTTAATAATGTTTTACACAATAAATTATATATAGAGTAGTTGATTAAAATGCAATCAAGTATAGAAATTGAAAGACAATCACAAAAAAAAAACTCATGTAAATTGAAGCATCACCTTTGAAAACTCATGTAAATTGAAGCATCACCTTTGAAGTACATAATATACAAAGGCTACTATTCTTCTTAAATTTTGAAGTGCAAAATTCGCCAGTAATTTACTAAAATTAAAGACAAAAAAACACATATTTATTTTAAAAACATAGCTATGTTTCTCATCTATATATTGTGACACTTTTCAATGAAGATGTTTGACAAAAATATAGTACTAAATAATTATTAATTGTATTACAAAATTGTGAATATTTCACAATGAATAAATTAAGAGCAGGGTTTAAACAAATAATTATATATACTTATGATTAAAAAAAGATTATTTACAACAATTTGACCTCTTATTTATAAAAAAGATTATTGTATTGTATTGAGTTTTGTTAATGACAATCACCGTATTCCATAATCTATTGATTTACTTCTGTATTTTAATGTCCCTTTTATTTTGAATTATTTAATGCGTCGTATTTATTTTGTACATTTTCTCAATACGGAGCTGTATAGTTTTTACCGTATTTATATGGTGCACAATTTAATGCTATCAATTCATAGAATTAATAAAATCATTTTTTTTCTGGGAAAATATAATTTTTTAATAATAACGTCAATAACGGATTTTGGCCTTATTAATTCAATATACAAGGCAGTCTTCCACGTATAATTCCTTACTGAATAATATGAGGGGCTTTGCGTTATTAATCCGTAGCAGAGTTAATAAGGGGATGGGCCGTTATTGTGAACAGAATGAGGAAATTTTAATAATAAGGGATTTAATAAGAACTCATTCCCTTATTAATCCGAACTAGTTTTTTCACCCGTGTGTTGCACTGGGTGAAAAGGCCATCTTAATTTATTTGAATTTAATATAAATTTTCCCCGAGCATGGACTAAAACATTATTTTATATTATTTAGTAATTTAATTATTTTACTAAATCAATGGATAACATTTGTCTTTTGAGTTGAATTAAAAAGCGCTCAATTTTATTCAAGACGAAATGTAATATTACAAATTGGTAAAGACCTCTTTGTATACAACATTTAATGTGGAGTTCGTCGGTCTACCATTATCGTCACATATCAAAAACTTCAAACCAGTTGGACTCGTGACTCTTGATACAACAACGTAAAGCTGCCCATGGGTGAAAACCGGTCGCCGTAAGAATACCCCCACATTTTCCAATGACTGGCCCTGACTCTTATTTATAGTCATCGCATAACTAACCATCAGAGGGAATTGCCTGCGCTGGAAGGTGAATGGCAGTCTGACATCAGAAGGAGTCAAGGTAAGACGTGGAATGAAATGTTTTTGTCCGGCAGTTGGCCCTAACAACATTTCGGCCTCAATAACATTCTTTCCAAGTTTGGTCACTAAAAGTCGAGTGCCATTACACAAACCCAATGATTGATCAAGATTCCTCATAAGCATCACAGGGGCACCCACTTTTAATTTGAGCTCGTGGCAAGGTACTCCGGAACATTTGATTCCATTAAGAAATTCTGGAGAATGGATCTCTTGCAACAAACTACTATCAGAATCAGATAGAGATGCAGAATCAGTGCTGAAATATGTCTTCATCTCTGATGGTAGTTGTGCGATCATGTAATCATTAACCTTGTCCACCTCGTCTATTGTTGGCGCAAGTATTGCTCTTGACATTAAATATGAAGGGGATGTGCAGTGTGCCAAGAAATCGGGATATGTACTACGGACAATAGAAGTAACTGGATCATAAATCCAAGGCACGAGGAATTCTCCGGGTATGTCAATATATGATTCTCCATCATCATTGTCACCCAGAACCCCATCCCCTATCTTCAATATCCAATCAATGAATCTTTGTATGTATGCAGAATTAAGATCGTCTGATCCACTTCGCACTCTCATGTTCTTCGTTAGCCTTAGCACATTGCAAAACGCCCAAATGAAAGATGAGTTTAAAGTTGCCTGTACAATATCTTGCCTGCTACCCTTTGGAATTACCGGTGAAATCTGTCTAAAGTCTCCGCCAAAGACAATTGTCTTTCCACCAAAAGGTCTCATTCCATCACAACCGTATGAATGTCGAAGAATATCGCGCATAGTCCGATCAAGAGCTTCATAGCAGTACTTATTGGTCATGGGTGCCTCGTCCCAAATTATCAATTTTGTCATTTGAATTAGCTTGGCAAGCGCACTTCCTGGTTTTATGTTGCAAGTTGAATCTTCTGCTGCTGTGAGTGGGATTTTAAACCTGAAAGTTACAATTCATTGTCTTAGTATTTATTTGGGAATATAAGTTTTAAAAACTAAAAAAAACTGACCTGGAATGTGCCGTTCTTCCACCTGGAAGTAGCAATGATGCGATCGCACTTGAAGCTACGTTCAACACAATATTTCCCTGATGCCTTATATATGTTGATAAGGTCTTCCACATATATGTTTTCCCTGTACCACCGTGCCCGTATAAGAAGAACACTCCGCCACGGTTGGCCTCTACAGAACTCACTATTGTCTCGTAAACACGCTTTTAATCCTCCGTCAAGGCGGAAATTAATGTAGCATGTTCTTCTGCCAAAGCATGTTTGTCATATCTCAATTCCTCGTGTATCAAAACATCATCAAGAGAAGGAACTTCAAGATCTGTTACTCGAGGCATTCCGTCATAGTAGAATAGAGACTTTCCACGATGTTGTAGAAGCTTTTCAATTTCCAGCAAACAATAATTCTTTATTTGCTCCTCATCCAGTTGCAGTTCTGTTTAAAAAATGGCCCATTTCAAATTGTAATATTAATAAATTTAAGATTTAATTAGAATATTTTTTAAATGTCTATATGGTTAAATAATTGAATTTATTTGTATTATAAACAATCAACACATCTGTAAATATGATGTTGTAAGAAAAACAAATTATTTAACCAACTACTATCTTAAAAAATAGTTTAGTAAATTATATATATTGAACTATTTATGAATACTTTTTAAGAGAAGTCCTTCGTATTTAAAAATTATCTATGACATATATAAGAGTAAATTTTAATATGCAATTTATTATGATAAAAAGTCAAATATTTGATATTAGCGAATAATTATCTTTAAATATAATATATTTGAAAAGGAATTTTTTAATTTCAAAGTATCTTTCTTATTGTACATCTACATCACTCTCAATATTGGCATTTATTACATTAATCTAAATTTAAGGAATGTCATTTAATAATAAACATACCTTGATCATTGAGATTCTTCCTAATAGTGTAGAGTATATCATCAGACAGATAGGGCCAACACTTCTCCCAAACCATACTGGGCAGAGATAATGACTCTTGTAGTAAAAGATGAACAAATGTGATGCGAAGTTCATGCCCTATTGCCCAATGGCTTTGTTCTATGAGTCCATCTATATAATCTTTATCGTCATTTAACATACTGCGGGCACAGCAAGCTTCTCTGAACGTCGAGTGTACGACTCCATCAACTGTCCTGAGTTCTTCAAAACTCCTAGCCCCCTTCACGACACCAAGGAGCATCCTTAAATAATATTTCTCTCCGGCTCCAGGTCGCATGAAGTAGAGTCTTCCGATTGTGGTGCTTCTTTGTCTTGGTACCCACTCTCTCGTTTTTGCTTTCCACGTGAACTTGGTAGGAAATTCAGCATAAGTCAAGCTCCTAGCTTGAGGATACACGTTGTTTGCATGCATCCAAGCTAGAAACTTAGTAGTGTGGATAGTAGGTCGTCTAAGAACAGAACCGACAGACTCTTTAGGACTATAGTACACACTATGTTGCCCTGGGAGATGAAAGCTTAGACGTTCAACTGCGACGTCCCTATAATGAATGTGGAATCCAAAGATTCTCCAAGCCGCTTCACATGCAGAGATATATCTACAATCGTAATACATTTTGATCTCATTGACCTTTTCTGGCTTACGATTGTCAGATGCCTCAGAGAATGCTACTGTGATCCGATCATTACCCTTATTAATGTACTTGAAGAGGTATTTCACCGCCCGAGTTTGGTTACACCACTCAACATTTATGTGAGCCCCATACTTGAGCAATAATGTACGGTTATGAGGGATGACAAATCTATTGTCAAGTGGAATCTCATTCTTCATGACACTCCTTCCATTCTCTATTCTTCTGTAAATAGGAAATCCACTTCCATCAATTGTGGTACGTCTCACAAATTTTTTCGGAAAGTGTTTCGTGCAGCAACCATTCTCCATACACGGTGAAGATTTGTTCAAAGACCCACAAGGCCCGTGCACCATTAACTCTTTGACAGCAACATAATAATCATGGTCATGTTTCTCATCAGGAATTTCAGCTGAGATAATGATGTCAATGTGTGATGCCAATATAACCGTGTCTCTTTGTGTCAACCATAAAACAATATGAGCATGTGGCAATCCACGTTTCTGAAACTCCACAGTGTATACAACTACATTTGATAAAATTAATTATGTGTTATTTTGTTATCAGATCAAAAAATAGTTGTATATATTAGAGAAAAGCATTAATAGTAATGTAATTATTAAATAAAACTTCAATAAATAATAAATAGAATCAGATCATACCTGCTTTGACTTCACCAAATAGCCTATTTTCTTTCAAGTCTTTTATGAGCATTTCAAGTTTGATCTTGAAGATTCTGCAAATGATATCTGGACGATCTTCCGGAGCAAGTCCTCTATACTCGACGTAACGAACAATCTCAGGCCACTTTGGGTTGCATGTAAATGTGATGAAGAGTTGTGGGTATCCTGTCCACCTGCAGATGCTCATCGCGTCCTGGTAGTTTTGAATCATGTAACGTGCACTTCCCGTGAATGAGTTAGGAAGTACGATGAGCTGTCCCAACCTAGAACCGTCAGTTTCACCACGACTCACAGCATCAGCCAATCCTGTATACAGTTCACTTCACAAGTCCTTTTGATGTAGTCTAATATATGCCAAGCGACATGACTCAATCATGGTATATCCGTCAACAATAAATTGCTGGAATAATCTCTTTGATCTCAAAATGTAAGGGGACTCGCTCTTCCTTTCTTGCAACCTGTATGAGAAGAACTCTTTCATTGTAACATGTTTCCTGCCTTTTGTGGTAGCTTGAGATGCACGTGTCAGGTTAACATCCTCTCTAAAACCATCCTGACCATAGGGGAAAAGTAACGGATATTGTAATCCAAGAAAAGAAGGATTCAGTTCCGATATAATTTGAAACTTTCTGGATTTCTTCTGCAGAACAACATCTCTCTCTTTTCGATTTAAACTAAAGTCCCCTTCTATAAGTGCAGCTACCTCACGAGCGGTAGGGGTATTGTAAGTCCGTCCATCTGAATTCCTTTTACCAATAAGCTTCATCTTCAAAGAGATAGAGTTAGTTTCATTAAACCTATCACGAGCCATTCTAAATGATTGTGCGTGAACATTGTGTGCATCCAACATATCTCGCAAATCGGATACTAATGTATCATGCAATGCTGTTCCACCAGAGCGCCTAAAATGAATATAGTAAAAATTGTTAATATTGAAATTGAAATTTTAATGTAGAAAACAATTCAAATATTAAAGGTAATATAGTTTTTTTATTAAAAAAAAGTAGAGTAACTTTCTAAGAATTATTAACTAACCTCACAGATGAGATTCTAGATGCAACCTCTTCTTCTGGATCGGTCAAATACATCTGTAAGAATTTTGGACGTTGTCCTTCATTTGGTATAAGACTACCGATCTTGTGGTAATTTTGACCATTCAATCTGAATATTGGAGGTGTTCTACCCTTATTTATATCTGTATCCGTTCTCCCACCCATCGAAGTGAAAGCAAACATAGAATTGTAAGAACGAATGTTATCCAGAAAGTGCTTACTTCGATTCTCAGAGCGAAATATGAGGTCATTTAAAATTTTAGGGGGTTGCTGCATATTAGGTAGAACAACATTTCCTTGATTGCAACACATTGAAAACTTTCACTACAAAAAAAACACGGGATTGACAGGGATTTTGGCACGGATTTGGCACGGATTTTGGCAGGGATATGCCAAATCCGTGCCAAAAACACTTTGGCACGAGCTATTTGGCACAAAAAATTGATAAGTCCGTGCCAAATTCCGTGTCAATCCCGCCTTTTTTTGTAGTGTTTGGACGTTGCTTGATTGAATGTCTCTTTACCCTTTCGGCATACCAGAATAAGGCTCCACAATACTCGCACTCATGAGTAGCATCTCCAAGATCCACATATGCTACAAAAATGATTCTTAATAAATTTAAAAAAATAAAGATCTTTTTCAACTATTTAAATGTGGTTAAAAATAGAGTTAAAAATACTTGTAGGTGTAAGTACCTTGTGTATTGAAACACAAGTATTCAGCATTGTCATCTGTTCAAAAATGAATAATTAAAAATTAAGTTAAAAACAATTCAACAGTTTAGGTTACGAAGACATTTCACACCAAAAGAACATATTTATTCATAGTTTCAAAATGTATTGTTACGTACCGTAATCTTCAAAGTCACCCAAGTCAACATCAATTGACTCATCAAACATTCCTTCATCTTCAAACTCTGGAAACATGAAAAATTATACGTTAATCTTTATTGTGTCTAAGTTTTTAGATGTGTGTGAATACTATTTAAATTTGATTGTTTGTTATTATTATATACGGAGTAGTATAATACCAAAATACAATAACAATATATAATGTATGGAGTTTATGGTACTCATATTAGTTTACCACTTTTCTATACTTTATTAAAAAACTTTGAATTTTAGATTTACTAAAATATTAGAAGAGATTTAATTATAGTGAGTTATAATATTTTCTTTTACAATTTCTCTCCAATAAACGAAGTAAGTACACTCTCTCGGAAATCGGAATAAATTAAAGACATTTAACAATTTATAGATGAAGGTCAAATTATTTAATGAAATATCTTACCTTCATTATCTAGGTCTATGCCACAATCAAGAGTGTCAAAATTGCTAGATCCAGCTACATCTTCATCAAATGTTGACTGGTCACTCACAAGTGGTCGTTTTCCGTTGACATTTATTATTTCCGTGGCTTTCTGCATCTAACTCCTAATGCAAGTTCATAGGCAAAACACACACATATTGTTTTGTTAAAAGTAGGTTGTAAACTGAAAAGTATGTATTTACTAAGAGTCTAAAATGTAATGCTACTTGTGATTTTTTTTGTAATTAAAAATAAGTCTACCAAGGATTACAAAGAAAATCTCTTTATAAATTTTATATTGCTTAACGATTTTATTTATGATTTAATGTGTTTATTTTTTGGTACTTGAAATGGGGTACCAAAATTAATTAGTGACTTTTTTACATTATCAATAAAGTTTCTCGAAGGACACTCAATTTGTTTTATGCTACACCTCCCCAATAAGCATCCTATGTATTACGGAGTAATGGTCAATGAAAATGTGATTCGTACAACTTAATATAAAAATTATAAAGTTTTATTATAACAATATTAACATTTTTTCGAAAATAATAGAAAGGTCGTATATGTCAGAATTTTTAATTGGCGGTATAAATATAATTAATTATTAACAATATATAAGGAACTTTGATTGTAAATCATACTTCAAATATATATAAATATGAATGTTATAGATACAGTTAGATTAAGAATACTACAATCATCTATTATTACGTATTATTTTGGATAGGCGTGTATTGCATATGAAAATGTGAGATACAACTCTTTGTTGTTATTATTATACTGCTAATAACTAATGAAGGTATCATAGTGTTTTAGTGTGCCATTATAATTGAGTTATTACTAATTGAGTTTCCAAGCTAATATACCTACAACTCATGATGGAATACATGTTAATTAAGTTAAAAAAGGATTCTGATAGCATACATTGTAGGAAAGAAATTAAAGAAGGTGAATTACAAAACTAAAATGCACTAATCGTATATGTAACAGAATAGATAACTACCACATGTTAGTTAAATATGAGGTCTACGTGAATAATTTTTTTTTTTTGTTAAATATCTCATAACAGCATTATCAAATAAGTGTTCTTTTTATCATAATAAAAATTCATCTATGAATTAAAGTATACAGAGTTCAATTTTGTTTATGAAAAATTAACTTGTGGTTCATCAACAATGGTAGTACAAAAAAGCAATTATATACAAACCAAGTCAGTATTACTAACCTTATAATATAAAAGCACTGAATGATTGGAGTGAAGACGGCGGAGCAAAAGTATAAGCCTTGGAGCATAGGAACAAAACCGACACTTAACATATTATTACCGCAAGCTAAGGGAGGAAGGTTGGTCATGTCGTTGTCATTCAGACCATCCGTGAAGTATTATATTTCCGGAGCAAGCCTTCATAATATCTCTTTTGCTAACCAAAGTTGATAGCAAAGGAATATGAAAGAAACACCATCTCAATTTATACGTGGTGTGCTTGTTAATTATGAATATACAACATGGTATTATGTAGGTATATATAGGAACGTGATAGAATTTTAGTTGATCTCTCTTTTCATTTGACGTTATCTTGACTTAATTAATAGTAGTATAGTTGCAGTTAAATACAATCTTATAAGAAATATTACGTTTTTTTCACATATTAAATAAAAGTTATCTTTACATAATAACGTGTAATTGTAGATAGGGTAGAGGAATATGCATAAATCTTATCAATTCAAGGTCATAGTTATCGAAATACTCATTGGAGTTTATTTGATAATAACTCCATTGGGTGAAGGTGTCATTAAATTATTGAGGGAATTTTGTTCCGTTATATTAAAATAATGGATGTAAAGCTAAGCTCTACAAATAAATACTACCTCCGTTCTTTAATAAGTGCAACATGTTGAATTTTACGCTATTCACATGTTGTACTTTGACTACGTTTAATTAAATAATGTATTAATATATTTTCTTGAAAAAAATATTGTTAAACTTGTCTCATTCTAAATGTTCAAAATCTATTTTTTTAATTTTTTTTACTGATAAAGAATGATATATATTAATGGTCAAAGTTGTGTCTCGACAAGTGTGAAATGTTGACCGTTGCACTTATTTAAGAACGGAGGAAGTATATCACCAAAGTTGGCCAATGATTTCTTCACTTTTGATATTATTATTATTATTATTATTATTATTATTACTATTATTATTATTATTATTATAAGAATTACAATACGCAGTGAGAATTATAATTATTAGAGGGGTAGTGGAAGTGGAATAATACTCTATTATGATTTACGGGACATTATCTCTATTAGAGGGGTAGTGGAAGTGGAATAATACTCTATTATAATTTACGGGACATTATATCTATTAGAGGGGTAGTGGAAGTAGAATAATACTATACAGTATTATAATTATTCATAGTACCTAAATACTGAATTCACGTAATTCAAATCCAGAAGCGATGCCTAAAAATGATGCCTAAAAATAATACGTAGTACATACTACATAGAATGAAAAGATGTATGTCTGTTGAGCTTGGCTTATTGATTCATAAAAAAAATGTATCTAGTGCCTGAAAAAGAATGCAACCTACTAAAATAAAAAATAAAACGGGAACGACATAACTAACATCAATCCCTAAAAGTAAAAGAACAAAGTAAACGAAGAGATAACGCTCAAGCATCCGGCTTTTCAATTTTGATGCCTTTGAGTTTCTTATTTGATGAGCTCTGTGTGGAAGAGTCAACATGTTGCTCACTATCTGAAGGCCTCTTTGATGTAGCAGAAGGGGTGGTTTGTATTATTATGTCGTCTTCGGTTGAGGATGGTGTCTACATGCAAAAAATTTTGAATTAGGAGTGAACGGCCAAACATATTTTGATAAATAAACAGTAAGTACTTACTATATTAGATTCAACCGTGGCCGGAGAAGAAAAAAGTTTATCAAGATCCTCATCAGAGTTATAGTCCTGAACATCCACAAATAAAATTGACATTAATATCCTCATCACCGAGTACATCAAATTATAAGAGCATTGAATAGTCCTGCTCCACAATACGTTCATAACATTGTTATTCCAGAAATAACAATCAGCCTTTCAGTTTCTTGGCTAAGAATATTAATTGAATTTAACAAATGAATATGACATAACTATTTGGAAAAGGTAAATCTTTTTTTGTAATTTCAAAAGGACATGAGTATCCTGGTAGGCAGTGACAATTTGATGTAGGAAAAGTTGATTTAGTTACATTGAAATAATGAAAATAATGAAAAGAGAAGTTTTCCTTCTGGGTAATCAATTTTCTAGAAGCTTGGTTGTGTTAAATGCAGTTTGTCATTTTGGATGATTCATGTGCATAAAGTTTCTTAACCACTTGCATAAAGTTTGTCATTTTGGATGATTCATGTGTTAATCAATATATCTCTTATATTTTGTCAAATTAGAATGAAATTGAAGCTTACTTTTGTAGCATAGTTAAGATGTGTTAATTTACCCTTTTCTAGGGTTGTAGACGAATAGAATAATTTTGATTCGATTTGTGATTCGTAATCGCAAATGTGAATTCAAATTCTAGTAAGTAAAATGCGAATACGGATACAAATCATTAAAATACATTTCAAATAGGAACACAAATACTACAATATTCAAATTATATAGGAATACACACACATATTCATACAATATATATTACTCCGTACTTCTTATAAATTAAATTACTACTCGTCTACTCCAGCACTACCGCATAGGGTAGATTAAAATTGCCGAACACAGTGAAAAAGTTGGCCGAAAAGAGAAACGACCGCACTATGACCAAATTCATTCTAAACAAGAAGACCGAAGGCAGAATTCTGTGGGAATTGAGATGCGCGAAGGGAAGAGCTCTCAATTGTTTCGCATATACTTAATCTATCGTTTATTACTTTTTAGATTATATATATTTGGATATTTGAAAATGTCAAACTGCTATTTCTAATATTTGTTGGAAACATTTTATAATTTGGCTTTTAGATGTCATAAGGTGAAAAATGATAAAAAAAATGTCCATCGTAAAAGAACTATTTTAACAAACTGAAATAAGGTCAAATGTGATTTTCAGTAATTCTCTTTTTTCAAGTTAGTATCTCATTTTGGCTAATTAGCTTTTTCATGTAAAAGAAAAAACAATACTCCAATGATTAACCTTAAAATTGCAAGCAACTCCTCAAAAGTAGACATTTTGAGCAACTGGAACCGCAAGCAGTCTACTGCTCCAAACGAGCAATCCTAAATCAAACTGCCATATTGATCTTCTTGCATCTAGACATAACAAATTAACACCCCCATAATTATCCCTTCAAATTAAACTAATACAAAATAAATAAATTGTTTTAAATAAGACTAAAACATATATAGCCAAACTACACGAATAGAATTAATTAACAAATAGGTCTATTATTTTTGAAATTTGATGAATAGTTTATATCAATTAAGAGTGCTAATTACTTCCTAAATTAGAAATAAGCTTAAACGGACAAAGAGGGAAAATCTTTTATTAAAGGGGACAAATTAATAACCTATATTGTGTTTTTTTAAGTGCGTAGCACTTTTGTAGTGATATCCACATTAGTAGCTTAATTAGTACGAACGAAGTGTGAGATCGATATCATATTAGACTCATAAATTCCACATTAGTAGCTTAATTAGTACGAACGAAGTGTGAGATCGATATCATATTCATGAGCAACTTGAGCTATCCAAATGATCATATTCATAGTACGAACTACGAAGTACGCAGGGCCGGCTCCAGCCATTTGGAGGCCTCAGGCGGAATAGTTTCACAAAAACTTCAATAAACATATATTACAATTATAAAAGACAATGATATATAAGATAAAATAAATGCAAAAACAGCATGTATTGTGAATTTCAAAACAATATAGTTTTAAATGTAACATACGTAAAATGTATTAAAAGTGTACTTTTTAATACCCAATTCTCCTTGCCTTTTGAAGTGAAAAACTAGTAAGGACGTCACTACAATCAAGACTAGCTAACATGATATTTGCATTCTCATTTTCAACATTATTCTCATTCTCACCATCAACGTTCATATTGTCATTGTCAACAACAGTTGAGGAAGATGGAATTGTCTTTATATACTGATCCATAGACCCGAAAAATAATTTAACAACCAAATCTTTTCTCAACTTATTCTTTCTCTTCATATATCCGGAATCAAATTTTCGCTTACCCGTCATGACAAATGACAACCGACAATACCTACACATTTGAGAATTAACATACTTATAACAAAAATAGAAGTATAGATAATAATTAACACAAACACCTAGACAACTACTTAGTCCCCACTAGTCCACTACTAATAAAAACTACAGCAAACTACTGAACTCCTAAACGTCTAAACTAGCAGTAGAAAGTGCGAAACTAAGTCTAGAAAGGCAGAAAGCCAGGGGCGGATGCACTAAGGCCATAGGGGGGCAGCTGCCCCCAATAGATTCCCACTAAATTCATATATTTTATTATAAATTATTAAGAGATCAACTTTTTGCCCCCAATTAAAAAATATTATTGCCCCCAATAATCTTCTTGCCCCAAGCGAAATGGCTAAATGTCAAAATGAAATTTCAGGACTCACCCACTACCCTCATTCCTCCGTATATATATGCGTTGGTTAATTAATGTTTTATATTAGTTTCTATAAAAATACTACTAATGTTGTTTCTATATGAATGTTAATAATTTATTTGAAATGTCATTTTATTGTAAATTCAAGTTTCAGCCACTTCAAAAGTACCAGAACCCTTTTATAGCTTGTCTTATGTAAAATTTCAGTTCATTATTCATATGTTATATATTCTTGGAAGGGTTCATGATTACTAAAAAGGTCATTTAGTAAATGTCATTTACTAACAATTGTAAGGGTTAGTAATATTTCTTTTAGATTGAATTCAAATGGCTAACTAACAAATGCCGTTTAGATACATTTTTCTTCAAGAAGCCACTATACATACAAATCCAAAATGTAAATACTATGTTATTCTAGAAAGTTAAATAAATAAATAATGATATATATGAAACTTATGACTAAAATAAAGATGATGAGAAAACCTACATGACCTTGTATAAGATGACTAAAAAAGTAAATTTTAATTATTACGGAGTACTGTTTTATTCAATTTTACACTGAAGTGATCATGAAGCAATGTACCGAAGTACATAGTAACTCTAGACACTTTTTATCCATTAATTGCATTTGAGTAATATTCTAAGAAAAAAAGTCTTAAATAGAACTATAACTAATCTCTTAAAAAATAAAAACTCTGCTGAAAAAATGAAAACTTGGCAGGAACAATTGTAGAGCCCGTTTGGTAGAACGAAAATCGGCC